GAGGCTAGGATGGTAAAGTTAAATCAGTTTGGTTCAGTTAAATTCAGTATATTTGCAAGGTCAAGTTTGTGAGAGGCTCTTTTAAGTGCATGGAGTTATCTTCTCATGTGCCAAACTAATATTTAAAATATTTAATAATGTTAAATTAATAATATGAGCTCATTCCAGCTATAGTTGTAATTCAGAAAGTATGCTGTTTAAACCAGCTGTGGATCTTTAGTAAAAATTTATCTAACTAGGTTTGGCACATACACGGTGCCGCATTGAAGTGGGTCTATGTTCTTAACTTATTTTAAGGACTATTAGCTTGTTGGAGTTGACATAAGGTGATCTGAAGTTTGCAGCTGATATCTGAGACTCTGATACAAAAGATATGAGGAAATCTTGCAATAAATTCTCATCTAGAACCTCATCTTGTTGCAGAATCGTCCTTTACAGATTTGTCTTGTGTGTCAGGTTTCCCAAGACCTTCAGAACTGTGATCATCATGAATCATTCCATAAGGTCTAAGATGGTAAACTAAATACTCCAACACGTACATCATGTTGGGATTAATATAATGAAAAGTCACGGCATGATCAGAACAACATTCTGGTCCATCTTTATATGGATTATTGTCATAACTCCAAAGCCAGAAATCTTTGTTTAGATACCCAGGGATAAGGTGATGTTCCGGGGGAAGCGGCATGAAGGTTTCCCTACCACTCTTATCCCTGGTATATGCCGGCTTGACACACATTGCATTCAGACATTTCCCAACCTCCACATCCTCTGCAAATGATTGTTGAGCGCATTTAGAGGAATCACCGAGTGCTGTCTTAAATCTACGCAAAGTTTCTCGGCTGAACACATAACCAGCTCCGCCACTGTTGTATCCGCCGAAAGGCTTGAAGTATCTTCCTAGATAGTGGGGTTTCTCGGAATCCAGACTTGAAACCTGATGGCGGAGATTTTCGATTATGACGAACGTATCATCGTCCGCTTTAATAAACCAGTCAGCATCGTTTATGTGGTGCTCATAGACGTAATCCCAAGCTGCTCTGGTTTTACGCCACAACTGATCGCGACCCTCACCGACATCCAGCCCGATCGCCGGGAAACTAGGATCATCTTTAGAGCTCATAAACAAAAGAACATTGCATCTCTTTCCCCACGTTTCCTTGACTGGTTTTCCTTTGATAGGAAGATTTTCTGGACTCGTCATCACCCAGCAAAGAATTCTTATTTCCTGCTGCTCCTTCAGAGCTTCTTTATTTAAGGAGAGATGGTGATGATGATCTTTAAGATCTGCATCAAAATCCACTGGTGATTCAACCTTGAACTTGTTACTGTCGCGATGAACAATTTTATGCGTGATGTCTAAGTCGTCATCTTCGTTAAGTGGAGGAGACTTAGTGACCTGGACCTGTGAGTTTCTATCAGCATTGAAGTAACTCACTACAGTCACAACAAAAATCCCAAATGAGAAGCCGACAGCAAACGAGAGAAATGTTGCACGCGCTGCCGCCATGTTGTATTCATTGTACCACTGATATTTTTGTCACGTCACCTCGATTTGGTGTCATGACACGTCAGTAATTTGAACTGGTACTCACAAGGAGGAAAAAAGTACGGTGTTCATGGACTGACAAATGTAAACAAACCGGTATATTTTTGTAGTTCTGGTCAAAAACTCGTAGAATTTTCAGGAATAATTTAATTTTATCTAAGGATGCTACGCAACGGGAGTAGAATAAAATCACCCAACATCAAATTAGAAACCGCACCTGAACCAACAAGAAGCCCAGTCTTTAAAAATCTTAAGTCAAAAGAGAGCATTGAAAATTAGTTTTTTGTGTGTGTTCTTACCTTTTGTTGACACATAAAGTTAACAATGTTGAGTTTTATTTTGAAAGTAACTATTGAAAGCAAATTTCCCTGGTTTTTTAAAAGCTAGCTTAATTCTAGATGTATCTTTTATAAAGGAGCTTAAGATGAAGGAGAGGAAAGGAGCCAATTTTACTTCAAACCAAATTCAAATTCAACCAGAAAAAGGAAATTGAAGTACATTTTCAGAAAAAAAAATCGCGTATAAATAATTAAGACAGAATCCACCAGGAAACTGAGTAATTTCAATTTTCAGCTGATAAAAACTTTGTACCAGAATATTTTAGGCCATATCACTTTTTTTGTACACTTTTCAAGGGCTATAGATATAATTAGTCATCTGTAATAACGCCAAACACAATTCCTTATGGAAATCCGAGAAAATAAATTTCAAATTTCACAGGAATTGAGAAAACACAGGTAAAATCATCATGCGTAAGATTTCATTTTGTGAAATTTGAAGCTTTTGAAGTTTGTTTTCTCGGGCTCTCATGAGAACCTTTTCTTTGGAGTTATTTCATATAACTTATAACTTTTATAGCCCTCAAAAAGTGTTAAAAAAGGATGCAATATGCTTGAAATAATTCTAAAAAAGGGTTTCTGTCCACTGAAAAATAAAATTACTCTATTTCCTAATTTCCATTTTAATATAATAACATCTAAATGCACCAGTAGTCATGTTTTCATGTCATACATGTCCAATCAGACAAAAAGTTTTTTCCTTTTTTTTGAGAAGTCAGTGAATTTATTAAATGGTAATATGGCTAAGATGAAGTCCCTTCTGATTGGCTACAAGAGGAAGTGGACATTGGCCTTGTTTATTCTTCTCATTTTTATTAAACTAGTCTCTGTACATAAAGGTGCAAAAAAAGAGAAAACAGAAAAAGAACTTGGCCAACATCCAGCACTTGGTCAATGAATGCATATTGAGTGTAGCCTTTGCACTGGAGTTTTTGAATGCAAGAAAATTTAAAAAAAAACATCACATTTACCATACAGCACATTTATGCACACTTCTTAACTTCCACTGAAAAAAACCTAATTGAAGACAAAAAAATTCGGAGGAAATATCTATCACAAGTGCACGAGTCAAAATAAAGAGGGAAAAAAAATTCAGCTCCTCCCCGGCGGGGAATCGAACCCCGGTCTCCCGCGTGACAGGCGGGGATACTCACCACTATACTACCGAGGACCCGGCTTATCAGGATAAGAAAATTTAATTTACTTATAAAATAACGGCAGGCACACGGTGCACAATTTCTCCCAGACTGTTTTTGTGATTGAAAAAGAAAGGCTTGATTATTTAATTTCATAAAGTAGCAGGGAATTGGATGCTAACGCGCGATTTACTGAAGTGCTCTGAACAAACACTCTGTAAAACTCTGCAATGCGTCTATCAAAATTGGACGGATGTATATTCCAATCTGGTGTTTCCTTGTTCAGACCTAGCATCTCTCTAACAGCATTTCCTTCAAAAAGTTGGCCACTGAGTTTTTCTTGAAGCAAAATTTTCTTTTTCACGCTAATCGTCTCGCTTTTCGTGTGCTGATAAAATGCTTTCCCAGTCACATACTTGTGCCCGTGGCTTTCAACAAAATCACGAATTGGAAGCCGTTTCTTGACCGTTAACTGGACGAATTTTGCTGTCTCTACAGGAAATAGATTAGCAATCAAAGTATCGAAGTTTAATTTCTTTTCCGTCTTCGACGAAGAACGAGGATATAGTCGTCCAGTAGAAAGTTGCACATAACGTACTTTCCAGTTTTCAGCTCTCCCCAGATGAGCTGAGATCTTGCGTTTTGTACAGAGCTGGATAACGTGTGATCTCCAAAGAAAGTTCGAATTCGAGATTCGATTCCACTGCTGACAAACTTGACTCGCGCAGCATAAAGCCCTAACATCTAAAAACGAAAATATCGCGAACAAAACATCTTCTCCTAAACATTCCATAATTTTCAAAATGTTCATTCGAGTCCCGCCAGACCGCCAAAATCATACGAGCCTGCAAAAAACTCACGTGAATCCTGCGGTCTACCGTTTGAGGTGTTGGTAGGGATTCTGCAGCAAACTTCAATGTTCAGTGATGTAATGTTACGGTTTTTTGCCATTTTCTATCGTTCTTAACTAATGGTGGTGTATTTTCTGTGGTGTATGACGTAAAAAGGCATTTTGGCGAGTGAAGATGGCAGAGGACGAGGTCAAAAAGACGGGGGGACAAGTTGACGGTACGCTTCTAAACTCGCACGATAAGAATCTTATACTGCGAGTTCTTCTGGTCGCGGCTTAATTCCCACTCAATGAATTGTCAAAATCAAAACCTCAGTTACATGGTCAGATTTCTATAATGTTTGTGAAATCTGGGCATTTTTAGGGTTTGATTATGTTACCGACTACTGATTACTCGATCACTTCTTCCATTTTTGTTCATTTTCCTTCCATCAGTTATTAAAGTAATTAAGACGAGTGTACCTATATATCTAAGAGCTTACATAAATTTTTGGGCTTCTCTTTCTCAAATGTGTACTTCTTGCCTAAAACAATGAAGTCACCTCACATTCAGGTTAGATTAATGCTACGTTAATTAAAATAAACTAAATTAGGAACCTTAGCCAAGGATTTTTGGGTGCTTATAGTATTTTAAATGGAGCATTATCAAAGGTTCGTGTCACTTCCTGTTTCAAAGATGATTTGCACGTGTGTATCAGTAGGCTCTTTCTCACTTTCTTCTACAATTTGGGTAGTTTCTTCTCTCTGTTCTTTTGGGGGATCTACCCCTGGAACCATCCTAGGGGTGGTATGCATTTCCCTAGTATGAATTTCAAATACGGTCGTTTTGCATTTTCAGGATCTAGAAGTACGCCATGTCCCTGTTGGTATTTTAACCTTCTTTTTGTTGTTTGTCATCACTTCATCTGTCTTATGTCACTGTTTCAGGGCCATGTCGCTTGTCGGAATTTTACCATAAAAGGTCGTCACCCTTGGGTTTCTGGGAATCTAACTTTAGGTGTACATGCCCAATGCCCAATGTTTCACAATATTATGATGCTAATTCTTTATGCTCGATAAATTAATGTCATTTTTATAGGGTCAGATAGCATCACTGTTATGCTCCATTATTCAGTATCTTTACTGTTCTTTTTCCTGATTTTCTCACTTGACTATCGAGACGACTTTTCTGGGGAGGTTTTAGTTTTGTAGAACTGGAACTGCTGTAATCTGTGTTTTCAGTTTCAGTTTCAGTTTATTTCACCACAAAAAAAAAAAAATGAAACTGAAACTGAAAACATGACTTCCGTGTTTCTGCTTATCTGAACAGGACCTGGTCTTCCTGTGGTAGATCCAATCCTATGGTTTTAATTATTCGACTGTCATAAAACATAGCGAGTCGAAGAAATTTCGCAGTAGTATTCCAATATAGTGCACGATTCTTTTGACTGCCAATACTGAACACTCAAATATTCAGGCATGGCGTGGACAACCCCTTTCCCCTGGGTACCAGAGGGTTTTTCTCGCGTATGACCAGGAGTTTTGTTGGCTGCAGGCGGACACGTCTTCGGCCTGACACAAGGGGCGATGCTGCGAGAAAAAACCTCTGGTGCAGAGCACCTTGATTTACCGGGCTAGACAGACCTTGATTTTGTCTCTAATCTGTCAATCAAACTGGTGGTCGCAAGACTATTAAGCTAATTCAAAAGTAATTATATATCAAGGGAGCAATGACACGCTCCAGCCCAAAGAGTCACTAAATCGTTAGAAAAACAAGCTGGAGTTTAAAAATCATTGCTTAAAGAGCAATCTTGTCACAGTGCAGTTCTCCATAATTTATGTAACTTCAGTTCAAGCTGCAATCCATTCTTCAAAATTTGGATCTGTAAATCACTAAGGAGAATTTAACATCCTGCAAAAACTACTTACCAGCTGGGCCTAGCATGACCAAACATTACAGGAAACCTTCACATTCACAGACAAATAGAAAACGACTTTGAGAAAATTAAACAAGCTAAAAGTTTATTAAGCAGTAATGAAGAAGTTTACATTTCAAAAGAGGTCAAAGAAAAATTTTCTTGACTCGCGCAGAGGGCAAATCTTGCCAACCAGAAATAAACTGCAGAAAATCAATATGTGTGTCACGACTTTTTGGTATGAAACAAGCAGCAAAAATGATGCACATTTGCTCAGTCATAATCTACCCTCCGGAGAAAAAATTCATTGGAACAAGTAGCTTTTTGGCATGAGGTAAAAGTCATGTGTTGCCTACTGACCCCCTTTTTACGCACTGCATATGCCAGGCAGTATCTGGAACTGCAGTGATTTTCCATAGCCAGTCGGCAAGACCTCCAATTAATTGAATATAATTTACAATGCCCTTTCTTAGTTCTGCACTTATCTCCTCCACATCATCGAATATTCCAATGACTTTGGCTAAA